TTATCTCTATCATCAATCTATCTGCATATTTATCTATCGCTGGCTTATATACTAAAAAAAGAGGGCGTCTAGCAAACACTGGGACATTCGCGAGGTTCCCCGATAAGTCATGATCCTTCTAGAAACTCCAGTGCGCATGCTCCCAGCGTCGCGTGACTTCCGCTGTCGTAACAGTTATAATGACCACGGTTGTCCAGCTTTATGTCAGAAAGTGAGCCTGGAGGTCAGAAACATTAAAAATACATATTTCATTTGTTCTATATTTGTTTATAAAACATCATTTGATTTGTTTGTTGAATTTCGCACAAAGCTACTTGAAGGTTATCTCTACTACATGTCTTTAGTTTTGAAGACCAAAGAAGCTAATTAGTACTCTTTTATTTCCAACGAATAGTCACACCATAACGCCGTGTTTGATGACGCCACCAGAACGTGCGAGTCGAGTCCTCTAATCACTAGGCTGTGTCAGCCCACTATGTGTTGGGCCAATAGAGAAACAAGTTTGGCTTATTTAAAGTTGTAGACTCAAGATGCAGGAGAATTTTACAACAACAAAATTCGGTTTTTTTTTCTACCCGCAAATAATTTAATTTCTAGGATCTTTCGGCTCCAGAGACTCGAACCTGCAATGTCGTGATGTTTTATTATTATTTTATTAGCATTTATTACGTTTCGAATGTTTTAATAAGTTATGTTGTCAAACAAATATTGAATTTAATACTTCTTTTATCAGATGTCATTTTAGGCAGAACGTAACCTAGTGATTAGTGAACTGTTCATGTGAATCCGTACTTTGTGAACGTGGGAAGAGTGACGGTCGAATCCTGTTATTTATTTGTTGTCATGTGCAAAGCTACACAATGGGCTACCTGTGCTCTGCCCACCACGGGTATTGAAACCCGGACTCTAGCGTTTTAAGTCCGCAGACATACCGCTGTGCCACTGGGGGGGGGGGCTTGTGTTGTTAAGTGCAATGATACACAATGGGCTATCTGTGCTGTTACATGAAAAATTATAATTAATTACGTCGTGGTAAGAAATAATTCAATCAAGACAATCCAATTAAACGTTAGTTAAACACCGTAATTAACTATTGCAAATAATATAAGTCAATTGTAATTTAAATGAAATACATTATACTGTTTATAAATCTTCAGGCGTTGGATTACGGAGAACCTCCGCTAAACTCTACAGTAAATATCACGATAGAAGTTGAAGACGTGAATGACGAGAGGCCAAAATTTCTGACAGATCCATATCTAGCTGAGGTCTCAGAAAACAAAGACCCTGGATTAAAGGTGAGATTTAAGAATTGTACTTTGGATTAAGTAGGTTTAAAGCCAACATTTTTATTTAACGTTATATTAAAATGGATTAAAGATGAGTTTTAAAAATCAATACTTTGGATTAAGTAGGCTTAAAGTCAACATTTTTATTTAACGATAAGTTAAAATGGATTAAAGATGAGTTTTAAAAATCAATACTTTGGATTAAGTAGGCTTAAAGTCAACATTTTTATTTAACGATAAGTTAAAATGGATTAAAGATGAGTTTTAAAAATCAATACTTTGGATTAAGTAGGCTTAAAGTCAACATTTTTATTTAACGATAAGTTAAAATGGATTAAAGATGAGTTTTAAAAATCAATACTTTGGATTAAGTAGGCTTAAAGTCAACATTTTTATTTAACGATAAGTTAAAATGGATTAAAGATGAGGATTAAATATCAATACTTTGGATTAATTATAGAGCAAGAATGAGCTGAAAATAATCATTATGGTATAATAAATAGAAATAAAAATAAGATATTTTGTGCTTGTGTAGGTGACAAAAATCACCGCTGTTGATGCTGATTCGGGAGAAAATGGTCTGGTGTTTTACCAACTAGGAGGAGGTCACCAGAACCAGTTTTACATTGACAGCAAAGGTAAAATTGTCGTCAGAAATTTTAATACGATTCCCAACAATGCGTTACATTAGATCCAGATTCCCAAAAATGCGTTACATTAGATCCAGATTCCCAACAATGCGTTACATTAGATCCTGATTCCCAACAATGCGTTACATTAGATCCTGATTCTCAACAATGCGTTACATTAGATCCTGTTTTCCAACAATGCGTTACATTAGATCCCGATTCTCAACATTGCGTTACATTAGATCCTGATTCTCAACAATGCGTTTCCTTAGATCCTGATTCTCAACAATGCGTTTCCTTAGATCCTGATTCTCAACAATGCGTTACATTAGATCCTGTTTTCCAACAATGCGTTACATTAGATCCCGATTCTCAACATTGCGTTACATTAGATCCTGATTCTCAAAAATGCGTTACATTAGATCCAGATTCCCAACAATGCGTTACATTAGATCCTGATTCTCAACAATGCGTTACATTAGATCCTGTTTTCCAACAATGCGTTACATTAGATCCCGATTCTCAACATTGCGTTACATTAGATCCTGATTCTCAACAATGCGTTTCCTTAGATCCTGATTCTCAACAATGCCTTACATTAGATCCTGATTCTCAACAAAGCCTAAATAACAGGTAGTACCCTAAAAGTAACCTGAAGAATACGTTAAGCTCATGTGTAGCATAGCCATATCTAAGTTAGAACTGATGACCAGAGGGCGAGCATCCTATCAGCAGCATCCATCTTTTATATATGTAGTCCTAACAGAAAAGCAGGATTGACTATGACTTTTTTTTAACTTCGTTCATGCGCAATGAATTATATTTCTATCTTCTCAAATGTTAACATAAATTTCGCTGGTTCATCATATCATTACACAGACTGTTTATAATTTTATATAGAAAAATTTGCTGATTTTTTTTATTACTAGAGTAGATTACTTTGAAGTTAAATATCTATCACACGTATCAAGGCCGTCATCGCCTGTTTTGTAATTTGAAATGTTTTTCGTAATTAATCGCTACATTTTTTAACCTTGTTGGTAGATGGCACTGTTTGGACCCTCTCAAAACTGGATTACGAAAAACAGAAATTTTACAACATGACTGTGATAGCTTACGACCACGGGACGCCAAGCCAGAATTCTTCTGTAAAACTGTGGATTACTGTTATCGACACCAACGACATCGTTCCGGAATTTCAAAAATCCGTTTACACGCTAGAGGTCGCTGAAAGTACTAAAGTCGGTGAGGTAGTTTTTCAGCTGAATGCCGGTAAAGGAGATTTTCGATATTCTCTACTGAGTAAGTTTCCTTGGTCAACATTAGTAGTTATTTAATCAGATGTGATTTAACCTGTTAAATATTCACAAACATTTGCTCGTTCTTAATTGGCTATCTCTGCTATATAAACCTGGTTTTCAGTGTTATAAGCTTTCAGACTTACTTCTAATTAATTAATTATAATATTGAAAACCTGGTTATTAAGGTAGTTTGAACTATCAAAACTGAATACCAGATTAATTAACTATAATATTAAAAACCTGGTTATTAAGGTAGTTTGAACTATCAAACCTGAATACCAGATTAATTAACTATAATATTAAAAACCTGGTTATTAAGGTAGTTTGAACTATCCAAACTGAATACCAGATTAATTAACTACAATATTGAAAACCTGGTTATTAAGGTAGTTTGA